TCTATCTGTACACCACATATTTTTTACGTTGCAAATAGGGTACTCAAAGGCTTACGCCTATTTCCCTCAATAAACTGAACTGAACTGAACTGAACTGAACGCTATTCAAACGGATCCAAATTTATTGCAGCAAACCGGAGGACAGAGCATGTGAGACCCGCTATCTTCGCGACCAGTTTGGGCAAAATGGCTATCCGAGGACATTCATAAGTAGCTGCCTACGCGGTTGCCACTAGAGAACTCGAACATCAACGCCACCGACGATATGGCATTCTCTGCCATATATGAAGGACGTTTCAGAAGCGGCTGAACGCATTGCTGCGGTGCTAGGTGTTGGAATTGCACATCGCCCTAAAAACACCATGCGCAATAGGGTCATGAAAACCAAAGACCGGTTAAAACCTGATGAGAAATCTGGAGTAGTGTATCGCATTCAGTGTCAAAATTGTTCTTGTAATTACACAGGACAGACTGGGCGCATTCTCGGATTGCGCATACATGAACATAAGCTGGCTGTGCGACGAGGCGACGCATTATCACAAGTGGGCGGTCATACCTACGAAATGGATCACGAGTTTGACTTCGCAGCCACCAAAATAGTCGCCCACGCCGGAAACAAAACAGGCCGAGAATGGATTGAAGCCTGGGCCTCGGATGAGAACTCGGTCAATCGATCTATCGATCTGGCGCCGGCGAACAGAGCCCTGCGTAGTCACCTCCAGTCTTGCGTCGTCGGTCGATGATTGGTCTGCATGCCTTAGAACTGTCGCTTGTTCAGCTGCTGCCGCTACCTCTGACAATGGACTCCTGTACGAGTCTGAAAGCCTAGGACAATAAACACAGTGTTCCCGTGCTCGACTCTTCTCCACTTATGCATACACCTGGAACTCGAAATTTCGCCTTCATTAATATAGGGAATGCTAAATCGCACGTCTACCCCATTTAGTCTCCCGATTATTTACTGCAAATGCCTGGACGAATATTGCCGTAATTTCCTCAGTCTCCCACGAAAACTCACAAAGGGAAACGAAGAAAAGGGGTCTTAAAATTCAGGATGTCTCATGTCGTCGGCAGTGTCCATGATGCACCGTTTAAATTAATAAACGAGGTTTTCAGCAAACGGGCAAATATTTTTATAGGTTTTCGCCTACCGGCGATAAAATAGAGCAAGGCTCAGTGAATCATTCTCGAGATCCTTTGACTTAAAACAATTAAATATGAAAATAAACTTATTGACTGCATATAATGTCACATTTACTGTAAGACTTTTTATTGACTGAATCCATTAAAGATCAAATGGCAGAGCGCAACTTTAATCGGACTCCTAATTCTCTTGCACAAATTGTCAGCTGCATTTTCAACAAAACTTTCCGTTCTTGAATACAAATCACCCGCGCTTACCATTACGTTTGTTGTTTTATGACCAGATGGAAATATACTGCATCTAGATTTTTCACTCAACGTCACATCACTCCTGAAAAGGTGTGTCCGTATACAAGAAGTTATCTCAGTGAAAATTAAAGAGAATCACTATACTTTGACGATAAACTGTTCTCATTGACCACTTATTTTATGCTCATAAGCCGGTAATTGCACTATATGGTCATAGATTTTGCTCAGTATAGCCTCATCGCCAAGTTAAGATGAAATTCGGTGTTGTATAGGCTAGAAACTTATGCTGTTCTATGAAGTGCATTAGCTACCGCTTAATTATTTTTTCTGCAATTTAACAACAGGCTGAGTTGGAACTGATTGATCTATAGTTTTTTGCTAGAACTGGCGGCCCTTTTTGCATACTGGAATTATTCGTACAGATTTCCGACCGGCAGGTTAGTAGTCGTCTCCGAATAAGGCTCTGAAAATCATGGAGGCCGGTTTGCCTAGTTCACCAGCAAACTGGATCATAGGCCTGGATCATAGGGCCTTCCGTTAAATCGCAGTCGAAAAGAGTAAACCTGATTTCCATCCCAAAGATAGACTTAAATTTTGTGAGAGGTACTCTTATTTGCCCTGTCCCCATTGACCTCCAGAGTGCTCTCAGTGGTTCGAACTCTGGCAAATCCATCGCTAACATCTTCCGTCATCGGTCCTCCTCTGAGTGTGGTCACGAACTTCCACCCCTTCTAAATGATTACAAAGTCTTCCTCACCGATGACACTGACAAGGCGGAGTTGTTTAGTGCTTTCTTTGCAAAACACCTTGCTACCGAGTCCGATCCGGTCCCTTTCTTTCGATCACTTTCAGACAGGACACTTAGTACAATTGATGTCTCCTCAGATCTCATTAAGAAACACATAAGTCGTTTGAAATACTCACACTGCTCTGGAACGGACGGGATTCCGAATTCGATTATTAAACAAGCGTCCGACCTTCCCATATTGTTTAGTCATTTATTCTCGGTTTATATTTCAAATGGATTCTTTCCTGAAACATGGAAAACGTCAATTATCATTCCCGTCTTCAAGTCAGCATCTCGATCCGATGTTAATAACTATCGAGGCGTGCACAAAACGCCGTCTCTAGCAAAGATTCTTGAAAGGATTATTTTCAATGAAATTCTTGACTTCTGTCTAGCTAATCGGCTTCTGAGCTCTAGTCAGCATGGATTTTTACCTGAACGATCCTGCGAAACATGTCACTTGGCTTTTCTTAATCTTATCACTTCTCTTCGTAATGAGCGGCAGTCAGTGGTAGTTATTTACTTTGATCTTAGCAAAGCCTTTGACAAGGTGCCCCATAGACGTCTTTTAGTAAAACTGGAAGCTCTCGGCATCCGGCCGCCTCTACTCGACTTCATC